AAAGAGTGTTATTCTAAAGTAATTTACCTTCACAGGGATTTCTAAGGTTTAAATGCAAGGAATTACAGTTAGACTTTCTAGTTCATATACCAATTTACGTCCGCTCATGTTTTTTTTTTTTAAAGGCAATGCTAGGAAAATTCTTATTTTCAGTTTAATTTACATTGAGGAATTTTGCTGTATATTTCATAATCTTACCTAGAAATGAAAAGATGAAAAGCTTATAAATCACATGTCTAAGATCTACAGCTGAGTGTAATGGAGTTGAATAGGCCAGTTATAGTTGAAAAGATCAGAAGAACAAGAGCAAAGTCATAACTGCATAGTTCTGATAGTCATGGCAATGCTTTCACTACATGAAAGATTAGAATATCTCTGGCTGTAGCAATACTACTGGGTCCATAGAGCAAACTTATTCCACTTTTCCTCTTTTTCCAGTACTTGATGCCACAAAAAAAAAAAAAATGTATTTGAAAGTTTGTTTCCCTAAACATGCACTCTAAATATATAAGCTGAAAAATACTTCTGATTATGAAAAACATTCTTAAGAATTTATTAGAAATCTGTTTCTAATTCCTTCTTAAAAAAGAAGAAATGATGAAGAATGCAGTAGACAAGTCATATATGTTGTATATATTTTAGACTTTATAAACTCACAGCTGAAGGGAAATTCATTCAATCTGTTTTGCTATGAACATATATACAGTTTATTGCCAATTATAATTTATGTCCATACAACTTTCATTGGTTAGAAGTTTTGAAGCATGGTTTGTAGACACCAGCGCAACTTAAGAAAAGAAAACCAAGCTGAAAAGCCTGGGTTTACTCAAGTCTTTGTCAGGCTGTTGTGATGCATGTAATGGGCCTAGTGTGGAATCAGCACACAATAAATTTTCCTATAGCCATAAAATAAGAGAGAGAGAGAGAGAGAGAGAGAGAGAGCATACGAGAGAGCAGACTACAAAAAAAAAAAAAAAGGAATTTCAAGAAAGCCAATTTTTGCAAATTTTTTTTTGCAAATTGTTATTTCTCTTCATGAAATTTTTTTAAACCTAACTAGTTCTTTTTAAAATTTAAAAAAGAAATTTTAATGTAAAGTTCACCCTCCCAACAATTTCCAATATTGTCAACCACATGCACATTTTTGTGCAACGGATCCCTCTCCCCCGGAACCACTCCCCCAATCCTGCATGACTGAATCACACAGTGAACAATTCCCCATTTCCCCCTCCCCCAGACCGTTGCAACCACCATTCTACTTTCTGATTCTATGTGCTTGACTAATTTATCGAAAATAAGTGGAATTATGCAATATTTATCTTTTTGTGATGGCTAATTTCACTTAGCATTGTCCTCGAGGTTCATCCATGTTGTAGGAGATGACAGGATTTTCTTCTCTTCTTGAGGCTGAATAATATTGCATTGTATTTATATACCATATTTTCTTTATCTATTCATTTGTCAATGGACATTTAGGTTACTTCCTTCTCTTGGCTATTGTGAACAATTCTCTTCACGTAATTTTAAATTCAGTTGGAAATTGCAAATTGCTCCATCTCCAATCTGTCTCACATTGTTACTTTGCTTTCCTTTTTTTAGTTTTGAGCAAAGTTATTGAAAATGTGCATATGTACTGACTTAACGTTGACTATATTTTTCTTCTTGTTCAATGCAGACATGTAGATAACAACAAGACAGTCCTGTTCAAGGTGTAATAGCACAGTGATTTGATAAATAATGAAATGCTATTGTCATTGCAGGATGAATCTGCTCCAGCTGACAAACAGTGTAAACCAGAGGCGGCCCAGGGCACTTACTCAACCTCAGCTGTTTCAGGCTCCCAGGAGGTGTTGTACATCAACGGAAATGGGACCTACAGTTACCATAGTTACAGAGGGCTCGGAGGGGGACTGCTAAATCTGAACGATGCTTCTAGTAGTGGTGAGTCTTTATTACATATTATGTTTTTGTGTCCATTTGGGGTTATTAAATTCCCTAAACCTGAGGAAAAAAATTGAATGAAGTGTTATAAGCAGTAGTCAGTGCCAATCTGTGAAAAACAAGACCATTTAACACATAATGTCCATCTCCCTACAAGGACATCTCCCTATTCAGTTGCTGTTTCTAAAAGTAGCAGCTATTATGCAACTGAATGATTGCTGTTTTATATTCAAAAAATCTCAACTACGGAATAGAACATTTTTTACCAAATAGTTATACATTCTTTCCTTGAAGTTGTAATATACTGTTCGTCAAAAATAATGACACCTTTTCTCAATGTTCGAAGAGGTTTTTAATTTGGAAAATTTGAGGCACCAGGAACTTTATTGACTTGATGAAATATACACAGTCATTATACCTAAGAAGATACAAACTGAAACAACACACAGAAACAATCCATGGATCTCCAGCCAACAGCTTGTCAGTGACAATGGCGTGTCCCACCAGCAGTGAGTGGTATACTGGAACCAGCTTGTATGGGCTCGTGCTTGGTAAATTTTTAGGAATTTCTTGAGCTTATATACCAGAATAAATTCCAAATGGGTAATATACAGCCATACATATATTAGGAATATAGTATATATATGGGTGAACTTTTTATAACTGGGTTGTAGGAAAAGCTTTCCTAAACTATACTTAAAATCCAGGGAAAAATAAGTTTAATTAGACACATGCACACACACACACACACACACAACTTTTGCATGACAAAAAAAAATAAAGTAAAAATTAAGCGATAAACTAAAAAGTTATTAGCTTCCTATACTACAAAGAGTTAGTAGGCCAATATGTGAAGGTCTTCTAAAAAGAAAGAAATACTCAAAACTGCATATTTAAAAAATAAGGCTAGAAATATGAACACACAATTCTCATAGAAAGCAATGCAAATGTCCCCTAAATACAGCTACTCAAACCCACTCCTAATAAGAGAAATGCAGCTTCTGTCAGATTAACAAAAGTCTGAATATTTACAGAATATTCCTTTGACAACGCTATGGAGGAAATGAGTACTCTCATGCGTTGCTTGCAGAAATACAGAAATTTAAAGTAAACTTGACAATATCTAGGAAAATTAAATATGCATTTACCATTTGACCTAGCAGTCTCTTTAGGAATCTCTTGTTAGCAGTTTATCTCAAAGATACACTGGCAAAAATACAAGAAGACACATGCAGAAGGCTATTTGTTACAGTGTTATTTATAAATGCACAAAAAAAAGGTTACCAATAAAAATGTCCATCAAGAGATGGCTAGTTGATTCAATTATAGTGCATCCAAATAAGAGAATAACATGGAGCTATAAAAAGTAAGGTATCTTTATATACTCCAGATAGTGAAAAGTACTTATAGTATGCTAACATTCATTAAAGAAGGATATATATAATTTTTAAAAATTTACATAGAGACAGGAATGGGGGAGGAACAGTATGAAGAAAGGAATACAAGCCAGAATTCTCTGAGTATACTTGGTTTTCATACTTTGTTCTGTAAATTTAACTTTGAAACAATTTGAGTATTTACATAATTATTAAACAATCTGATTTTAAGAATCCCTAATATTGAAAGAAAAATTACGCAAATGACTTTATCTGTTTAATGAGTGGTTGGCACAGCCCCATAGATAGGAACTTTTCTAAGTGATCTCGAAAGTCATAATTTGACACCACAGTGTGAAAGCTTATGATAAAACCTTAAACTATTTTCAGTAATGATATTATTCTTTTGGAACTGTTGTCTGTGTATTATAGTTTAAAGCAAATTTGTAGTTATGTTGGTATCAGCGAAAGCTGGGATTTTCAGCAGAGGGCAAAGTAGATACAGGTGTGAAATCAATAAGTTTAAGCAAAAACTCCATAATCTTGTATTTGAATAAGTAGTATCATTGAGAGCTCAGTGTAGTTTTGTTTTAAAAGAAAAACATACTTCTTATCCTTTTCCACTGAAAATGCCTGGAAACAAAGACCAATTTGAAAATTTGAATTAGGCTTGATGAGCTTCTAATATATTTGGGAGAGAATTGCATTATTAGTATCAAATGAGTATATACTCTAGAAAATTACTTACCTTTACAATACTAGAAACATGCTCCCAGTGTATTCAGGAGTGATTCTGCTGCAAGGCTGGGGCTCTTAGGTCCGCCTTAAAATTAAAGGTCCTGTAAGGACAGGATTACTGAGATTTAGTCTATATCAGTTGCCCTCCAGCTCAAAAGACGGGTGCCTGAAGTGGAAGAGAAAAAGAAAGCAACTTATTTCAGAAAAAAAAAGTAAGTTTCAAGTGTATATTCAGTTTTTCAAAAGCCAACTAGTGAGCCTTCTCAGCTGTTTTCAAGTCTTATTTTTATTTGAACAGCAAATCAGCAGG